AAACAAAAGTTCTCATTTATATAAAGAAACAGTTTAACATGACTCACAGGTGTTCAATTTCAAAAAAAAAAAAAAAAAAAAAAAAAAAAAAAAACAAGTCAGGATGTAATCTTTTTCAAGTGTAAATGTGATTTATCAGAGGTTATAAATAAGAATCTGCAGTCAGTGATTTGATATTTAATGAACAATCTCACCCTCCAGCACTTGGTCATAGACTCTCTCTTCACAGGTTATGACCAGGTCGAATTTATCCTTGCACAACTGAAAGCGCTCTGGTTTTGCTTTGATGCGCTTGTTGCGGTCCAGCATGTGTAAGATCCCATTCTGTGTATATCTGATAGGTGAGGAAGTCAAGGAAAACAGCAGCAGCCACAGAAACAGAACAAAATCGCCTCCTCCCACAGCTACACACACAAATTAATGTTTTAAAAACCCTGAGAGTACTGCTCTTCAGAGACGAAAGGAAAAATGCTTTGAATAATGTTTAAAGAGCAAACAGCGCCCTCTGGTGGTGACGTCAATAACTAGGCCACAATTCAAAGAGAAAAAAACTGGCCTTCCTGTGAAATGAGGTTTAGACAACTGTGGCCATTCTGAAGAGTTTTAATTAAAATCAACATTTTCAATATATCACCTTTTTCTCCATCTTCTACTTACAGGTTATTTAATTTTTTTGTAACTATATCACAATCTTCCTACTGCGTCACAAATCAGGCATTTGCTACATTGCACAAGGTTCATAGGGTGTCTGTGCACCTTCTAGTCTAAAACTCAGAAAATAAATCTGATTTCAGTGGTTTAAAATGTGGACAAGCAGAGAAACAGTTCGATCTTCCGGCAACCAAACACTAAATCAGAGGTCTTCGACTAAAGCTCTCAAGGTCTGATGTCCTGCAACTTTTAGATGTTTCTCTGCTTCAACCCACCTGAGAAAAATTAAGAGGTGGTCAGCAGGACTATGGGGAACTGGACTGCATACTGAAAGGTGCTTCATGCATTTTATTCTGGTGTGTTGGATCCAGGAAACACCTGAAAGCTGCAGGACATCAGACCTCAAGGACTGGAGTCAAGACCCCTGATCTAGGGTTTCAGCACAATTAAAAGGAATAAATAAAAATAAATGCAAAACCTTCATGAAATAAATCCTTGCTTTTTTAAGGTTATATTTTGAGCTTTTATAACCTCGATAGTTTAAAAGTGGCTTTTCCAAATATGCTTTAGGTAATCCTAGAGGTTAGCCTAATGGAGAAATCACATTAAAAAAAAAAGTAAAGATTACTTAACTTCATTATTTAAACTTTATAAAATGATGGATTTTAGGTGTTGGAGAGCAGAATAGAGCTCATGACTAGGGAATAATTACACATGAGCAAGGTGGGAAAAAAAAACTAAACGTTTCATTCTTTTGGTGCTTTACATTTTGAAAATCCTTTATTCTGCAAATCCCTTTTTTTTATCTTTAAACCTTTTACAGTCTACATAAAGTTGAACTTTAAAGATGCTTGATGCACCTGAACTGAAATAGACAATTACTAAATAATTTCCCTTCCATGATAAGAGCATCGATCCATGTGAGCCTGAACACTTCAAATTGGCACAACTTTCACATTGTCAGATTTTTAAATAAACTGCATTTTTTGGTCAGAAATTTAAAACTTTTTAAAGTCATGGACATTAAATTATTCTGAGGCAAAAGGACTAAAAATAAGTAACATGGCTACTGGAAAACTAAGAGCATTAAGCTATAGAAAACAATCCCAGAGGTAATTTTTTTTCCAGATAAAGGTTTTCCATAAAACTTACCCAGGATTACTTACCATTAAGCTAAACTTTACCCCAAATATAGTTTACATTGACACAACAGCTTTAAACATGAGTTTTCATAGGACTTCAAATATGTATGGTTTTGTTTTCCAGCATCATACCTGCTATCCACAGGACTCTTTTTTTCCACCCACCAAAATAAAATCTACTCACCAGGCTGTGCAAAGAACCAAAGCACCAGAAACTGATCATGGTGCAAAAAACTCAAAAAATGAAACAGGGGTTTAAAAAAAGCATCTTGTGTGTGTGTGTATATATATATATATATATATATATATATATATATATATATATACACACACACACACACAAAGTAAATAGAAAAATGACAAACAGGTTACTATTGCCAACAAAATCCACTTACTGTTCTAATGCAACTGCTGATTGCAAGGTTATTTTCACACCTTATTTTACAACCATGTATCAAACATTTTCAGACTGTCTGACTTGAGGAGCTCCCATTGTTTGTGCTGTCCCAAGACGACCACCTAGCCAAACTCCAAACAAACAATACCATCCATGTAAAACTTTCAGATGGGTCATGTTTACTTAGGTGTGTGTGTGTGTGAGAAAGAGAGAGCGAAAGAAAGAAAAAAATGAGTGCGAATGGGATACAGTTCCTTGTCCTTTCGGACCAAGTCGTTGTACATCTGTTCATAAGTTGTTTTGAAGTCATACACATTAGGTTTATCCGGGGATGGACCAGGTAGCTTCACATGAGACCCAGTCCCAAATGATCGCACATCAAATCCACGTTTGCTGTAAAAAAGGAAAGGACAAGAGAATAAATACAATATTAAAATTAATTTTGTCAGCAAGATAAGCGATCATCCTATCATAGACTGTCAGTTTTTGATTAGAGAAGTGTAGAAATCCTTCTTCCTGTGCTTTAATTCAAAAAAAACTTTTTTTTATTGTAAAACAAATGGCGTCCATTCTGAACGCAAGCTATTCCTATTAAAAACACACAAGGGCAGGAAACTCCTCAGATCGTGTTATGAAAGAGCTGAATGACTGGAGTTGCACAACTGCAGTTCCTCTTCTGGAACATTTCCGTCCAGGGGGCGCTGTTAACATGTGAAGCCGGGGGGAAACAATCTAATCACTAAGGCCTTGTGTTTTAAAATCCCTGCGTCTGTTTTTTAAAAGAAAAATAAGTGCGGTCGTTTCTTTCAACCAGCACATGTAAAGCCGTGTAAACAGGATGTGTTCAGGGTGAGCTACACCCTCGGCGGGACACTCCAGAAGTGAGTCCATTGTTAGAGAGCGATAAAGGCCTGACGGACCGACACCGAGTCGGAACGGGTTGTGACCGGCTGGGAAAGCCCCTCCATACACCACAGGTTCACTTGGAGTTGGTTTTCTTGTTCTGTCTCGTCTTCCTGGCGGGTCGTCTTTACCTGAGGATATTGTGCGCTTCCATACTGCGGTTCTGGTTGCTCGAGCAAACAACCGCTACACGCAGCGGCTGGCTCGGCATTGCGACTCTCCGGCTGAGACTAACTAACACCAGCGGTCAGAAACTAAAAACTAGTGGTTCTTTTGGGTCCTGTGAGGAAAATAAAACAAACAATAAACCCTTATAGTAAGATAAAAGCCACGGCGTTTCAACTACGAACACCGTGAGCACCGCTCCCGTTCGTTTAAAGCAGGAAGTTAAAATGGCGGAACCAGAGACGCTGAAAACGGCTTTATAAGGTGATGTCATCGGGGGGGGGCGGGGCTTCGTATTACGTCAGTAAAACAAATGTTATCCAAATATTCCTTCATTAATATTGAAAAGTAGAAATAGTTAAGGTGAAAAAGTCATTAGACAAATTCAGTACACGCAAAATTATTTATTTTAAATAAATAATCAAAAATAAATAATTATTTTAAATAATTATTAAATGTATATTGAAATGTATGTTTCATCCGGATCGTACAAATAGGACCTTCAAGTTGCCATCTTTAGTTAATTATGACACTTTTGTGTATACTTATTTTATTATATCTGGTCTAAAACCATCTCTAGGTTAAATGGCGGGTACTGCAGTTGAATTTTCCTGTTGGTTACAAATGGTACACTTAGCAGATTCACTTTTTGGCACAGTGTTAAACGTGACACTCATAAAGCGTAGTTTGGCCTTGTGTTGGTCCTTCTTTGTTTGAAGGACACACACACACACACACACACACACACACACACACACACACACACACACCTTTTACTTGACATGGGTGTGTTTATTGTGATGTGACGCACAGTAAACCAATAGGAAAACAAAAATAGACAACAAATGAGAGCACTCAAAAATAACATTCATGATGTCAACATCCCCACATGCTCACATTTGGGTAACTCCCTCTGACACTGTTAATGTTTCAACTTAACAGTTCGGGTATAAAACCATGTCACTCTGTAGTGATTTTTAGCTTTGCATATGCATGATTCATTTGCGTTGTGAACACAGAGTGGAAGGGGTCTCCTACAGGTGGGGTTTGTTGCAAGACGCCTGTGAGGCTGACTATTGAGCGTAAAAAGCTGGACAAACTCCCTGGAATTACTGCAAAGCTACTGGTGATTTCACAAGTTGTTTCCAAAGTCTTCAAAAAACATTTTAAAAAGTCACTTGATCTTTTTTCTAATTACTTTTTTGTTAAAAAAAAAAAAAGCTAAACGGGTGTGAAACTTCACTGTTCACATCTCCAGTTAACCCACTTTGGTGAAATTTTTTTTAAAACTGGGGTTATGCTTTCATATGAGTATTATTTCCACTTTACCTTCTTTATTTCCATCCATTCATTTTCTATACACCCTTGTCCCTTGTGGGGTCGGGAGGGTTGCTGATGCCTATCTCCAGCTAACGTTCCAGTCTGTCACACACACTCACACCTAGGGACAATTTAGATAGGCCAGTTAACCTGACAGTCATGTTTTTGGACTGTGGGAGGAAGCCGGAGTCCCGGAGAGAACCCACGCATGCACAGGGAGAACATGCAAACTTCATGCAGAAAGACCCCAGAACCTTCTTGCTGCAAGGCAACAGCTCTACCAACTGCGCCACTATGCAGCCCACCTTCTTTATTTGCCACCTTCTTTATTTGCTTCTATTAATTTGTTTCTATTAATTATAATTATTGCTTAGGACTTTATTCTGTACCGGAATTTTTAGCTTCAAAATTCAAATTAAAAGCGTAATGTATTTATGATATTGACATATAATAAATCTGCATTCATGTGATTCTGGTGAGTTGTTTTTGAAAGTCTGGTTGTTTTAATAGCCTGCGACACTTAGTCTAGTTTCTTTCATGTTCTGGAGGCAGTGTGATGCTTTCAATGTTCTGCTAGGAAACCTTGGTTCCTGTCATCCATGTGAATAGAACTTTGAAACATGTTACCTACTTAAGCATCGCTGCAGATCATGCATACCATTTCATAGTATCATTATTCACTACTGGCTTTGTCTTCTTTCAGAAGGTTAATGCTCCTTGCCACAAATCAAAATTAATTCAGGAATGGTTTAAGGAGCACAACAGTAAGTTTAGGGAGTTGATTTGGCCTCCATATTCCTAAGATCTGAACCCTCTGGAGCTACTGCAGGATGAACTGATAAGTAAAGTCCAATCCTTGAAGAAACCAGATTGCAAGGATGTAAACTCTCTACTATCAATATCTTGGTGCTAGATACCACATCACATCACAGTGAAATGTTTTTCACTGTGCTCCTTTTCAATAAATAGGTTGCGAGGTAATGATTCCTCCAGGGTTAGCTCAGACCTTTTATTGGAAGTATTTTCCAGAACCTTCAGAGTAATTTTCAGTTCCAGGCCTCGAGCTCATGTTCTTGTTAAGGTATTTTTAGCACTCAATAGAAGATATTTTTATTTGACCTGGATGGCACAAGACGCTGCCACATGTACGCACCCAATTACACAAGGAGAACAATAAAGACAGCTGTGTGGTATTAAAAAGTACCCCATAGTTTTTTATTTGCAGTCAGCGGGACAAAAAAGGGATTCTAGCTAAAAGACGTTTGGCACAGTATTCAGAGATTGCACGCTGTTTTCTATTGCCCTTCACAGATTGTACAAACACTGTATGCAAACCTACAAGCAAAAACCAGAGATGACTGAATAAATCAAACTTAGATAGGTTATATTTCTTTCTTTCCCAACATAGACACACTCTCAGATTTATGCCCTAAGCCATTTATTGAGGCTGTTTGTATTGCTGTAGAAACGTGGCCTGATGGCACACCAGAGACAATCTGGAGCAACAAAATGACGCAGTGAACTAGTGTACTAAACACAGTTTATCAGTAATTTTGGTTCAGTGCACCCTGGCAGAGGCTTAAAAGGCGTGTTATTTGCAGAGCCACAGCAAATTGTGCTTCAATTTGGTCGTAAAATGATGAGGTGCATCTTAATACATTAGATTCTTGTTGATATTTAGATATTTTAGTAAATCAAAGTAATTTACAGATTTATTACTCATAGACTGTTGTGTCATAAGTGGTTAGTTTTGTTTACTTTGACGATGTTGACTTACAGCAAACAAAAACTCAAATTTCAATGAGAAAACTTTGATTGTACATAAAGCCAAAATAAGGCGATTTTAAAATTATTGTCTCCCATCGTCCTACTGACATTACTCCACGCATAGATTGTCAGTCAGGTGCTTTTGCTGACCAGTAAGACCATTATAATTTAACCAGTTTTTGGCAGAGTGGGAAGGTGAAAAGTTCTGAAAGTGAAATCGACATTAGCATGAAACTTGTTAGCATAAGGAAGCATAAAGTACTCTGACATTTCCTGGCATGGCTATGCTGTGGAAACTTCACACTGGATTCAAAACAGCTTTAATTTGGAGTTTTCCTGCTCTTCCTCCAGGTATTATTTTAAAAAGTAAGAAGGAACAACTAAGAAACAGTCTAGTCTGATGTCTCTGTTTAAATGTTGGATTTGTCTGTGTGTGGTGGCTCTTATGAATCTAACCCAACTCTTGGTGAACTTCACCATCTTTTCAAGGCTGAAGTTGTTGTCGATTGTCTTCCCCCATGAAACTTTCCATTAATATTCTTGGATAGTATTCTGTGAACAGCATGCTTTTTTAGGAATTACTTTTTGTGGCTTATCCCTGTTTTCCAGGATATCATTTGGGTTTTCTTAGCTGTATGCCATTATCACCAACATTAGTTTCACTTTTTTCCTAATTAAATTGCCTTTCTAATTTATTAAGAAGCACCTGTGCTGTTCGCTGAACAATAACTACCTTGTAACGATGACTGTGGGACGTGTTTATGCAGATATTCATCTTCTTTAGTCCGTCAGTGGCGTGAGTGAGTGCGGTAGGAGTAGGTGTGCTGTGTGGTGGGGCTCATGATGTTTTCTGTAATGTAGGCCACCAGCAGACAAATGATCACCAGCATCACACAGATAGCGCCCCCTACCGCCGTCATGGCGATCACAATGTCCTGCATCCCTGACGGCGGCAGCGTGAACTCCACGCAGTCCCGCTGCTCCGCTCTCCGACGCGGGCCGGACCGGGCCGGGGCCCGCAGGCAGATTCTGTACGGGATGTTCTCATGCAGCTCGGACATCATGAAGTCCCTGCAGCCCGCCGCCAGCTGCACGCCGGCGCACTCGAACTGGGTGTAGCTGCCGTTCCACCAGCAGCTCAGCTCGAACCCGCCGCGCTGGTGGCGCCGCTCACCGCCGAACACCGACCGCGGCGGAGAAGTTAAATGTGACCCAGAACCAGCGGGCTGCTCGGGAGGGCTCTGTCTGGTCTCATTGTCTCCATCGTGGCTCCACTGTAACAGCACGCTGCCATTGGTGAGCAGGTTCGCCACCAGGTTCCCCAAAGTCACCTGCGTCCTGCAGTCCTCCTTGTTGCACCTGTACCCGAACAGCGTGCGTCGAAAACAAAGCTGCCCCCAAATGCCCCCCTCTATCACCCTGTAGGCACAGATCGGTGACGCCTCCTCATCTGGTTTCGGTCTCAGCGCGCCGACAGAGACATTACTGCTGCTGTCTTTAATCAGAAATGATGGCCTGCTGTCATGACTCCGGTTGTTATTCCTACGTCTCCCCTCGGATGCTGCTGCTGAGGATGAGGATGTTTGGTGTGTTAACGCGAAGAGCAGCAGCGCCGACAGGGCGAGCAGCGATGCTCGGCGGTGGCTCGTCATCTCTCGTCCTCTGGTTGAATTATTTTCGCTCACAGTGGACCGCCGGATGGGCGATGGCACAACCATCCGAGCCGAGGTCTGCCATAGAGATCAGCTCTTCTTCTTCTTCTTTTCCCTCTCATCTGAAACAGAAAACGCATTTGGTGCATTTAAAGCGATCCCACATGAATAAGGCGATTAGAAATCGGATCAAAGTGACTCCTTGTGTGCAAACCACTTACGTGTTTCTGCAGGACAGAGGAGCCGCTCTCTCCTTCCTGTCTGGCTTCACGTAAATGGCTTTGATGCCTGTTTGAGAGGGTGCACGTGAAGGAGCGCTCGCCGCAGCGTGCTGGAGAGCGTGGGTGCGTGCGTGAAATATTTGGAGTCATCAGCAGCAGGTGGACGATGAGTCATCGTCCCACTCAATGCTCCAGGTGTGGGTCAGATTCCTGGAAACGCAGCTGGAGGAAAAGCTGTTACTCTTCTGAACAAACGTGAATTTATGAATGTTTTCCTTAATAACAAAATACATTTATGTTTATTATCTTACACATTTAATTCATATGTATACATTTAGAAGTGGAGAGAGATAAATTAAGTAGGGGCTGCAACTAACGATTATTTTAGCAATCGATTATTCTGACATTAATCAGCTGATAGGATAAAAATGTCCACGTTACACAGATTTTTTTACTTAACCCATTAAGCTTTTTTAGTTCAGTAGTGGAAATAATTAAAAAGATACAAATGAACAAATAATGAAAAAAACTTTTTTATTGAATTAAAATGTATTTTATTTTATAACAATAAAATATTTATAGAAATAAACATTTTATTGCCATTTCTTTTATGAATTTGAACAAAGGAAGCTAAAACCTTTTCATTTAAAGAGTTTGGAGCTAGAAACAAAGTGTTTTTTATTTTAAATGTATATCTATGTAAATATTTTCATACAGATACAAATATATTACAGTTTTGGCTTAATGTCCTCTGAATATACTGATTTTTCATCAAACTGCCTTTTTTCAGTCTGTATGTACTGCAGTTAACAATTAATCTATTAGCTGACAATTTTTTTAATTAATATTTATTTGTTCATTTATTTAATTTTTGTGCTTGTCTTTTTCTTATAACTGGCACATAATATAAATGTCTTTCTGCAGTAAAGGGTACAATGGGAACCATATTGGATTATTGTTAGATTATTTGTGTCACTAACGAATTAAATGAAAAGGTTGTAAACATCTATTATGAAGTCCAGCCGCAGTTTCTCCGTTGTATTCAGGTCTGGACTTTATAATGCTAATATAGCATTATAAACTATTAGCTCTGGAGCTCTGCATTTAGCTCCATCCATCATAATGCTGCCACCACCATGTTTTAGGGATGTTGCATTCAGGATGATGTGCAGCATTTGTTGTGCAAATAGGTAAAAAAAAAAAGAGAGAATATATTCTTTCAAATGTTTGCTGTATCAGCTCCTTTCAAAGGAGGAAATCTTGGCTGCTCGTTAATAATGGCCTCTAATGGAAATATTTAAATTGTGGTGAAATGCTTCATTGCTCTTTACTTCAGTGCTTAGCTAAGTTTACTCCATGACATCATCACCGTGTCCCACTGGAAGCTCAGTGAATAATTAGTACCAAGGGAGAGAATGAAAGGCTGATTAACATGAAAAAAATGCTGAATTTGTTAGTTCACTTCCTGGACGGTTCATGGTGTGCATGACTGAATTAACTTCTCTCTCTTTACTCTTAAACAGAATAAATAAAAACAAAAAGAAAAACAAAGAGTCTGTATTAAAAGATAAAAAACAGTGTATCAGTGTGTGGAGTGGAACAGATAAAATGTTGAGCTGAAACAATATAGAGACATAACAGTTTAAAATAAGATAAGATCAGATCTATCTATCTATCTATCTATCTATCTATCTATCTATCTATCTATCTATCGAAAACTGGCAGGATTAAATAAGTTACTCCTGTCTAAGCTCATTATCAAACAAATCGTAATCAAAATATTATATTTTGGCATTTGAATTGTGAATATGTTAAAAATAGAGTAAACTACACAGATAAGTACTGAACTATTAGTTTTTAGTTCATGTGTAAATAATGTGATTAAACTTGTTGATGCAGCAGTTCTGTTGGTCTGTGTCACATGGGACGTGTTGATGTTTTGGATTAACTGGACCGTGAACATGGTCAGCAGAGATTTGTCATGTGTGATGGATTTAATCATTTGTCTGTATGAACTCGTATAAAACAGTCCCGCGGTGAGGAGCAGCTCACTGTGCGTGACCCCTCTGACCCGAGTCTGAAAGGAAAGGATGACGCCATGTCAGAGATTCTCACTGTAGACGCTATTCTGTTTGGCCTCTTGGTTTTTTCTGGGATTTTGGGAAACATCTTGGTCATCCATGTGGTGAGAGAGCAAATATCTGTTTAGTGTATGAGTGGGAGGTTTTTTCGCAAAATCTTACCAGGCATTTTTGTTTTAGTTTCTAGTGAAAATATCTCAGTAAACTTTAAACAAGACAAAACAAGAAACCTTTCAGTGAGATAGCTTGTTTTATATCAATAATGTTGATGAAAAAGTGTTTTTTCAACTGGATTTTTCAAAAACTTAACTCAAGGTCATATACAGCTCTGGAAAAAAATAAGAGGCCACTTTAAATGATCAGTTTCTCTGATTTTACTTTTTATAGGTATATGTTTGAGTAAAGTGAACATTGTTATTTTATTCTATGAACTACTGACAACATGCCTCTGAAATTATAAGCAAAAATTTAGTATTTATTTACAGAAAATGAAAAATAATTAAAATAACCAAAACGATGCAGTGCTTTCAGACCTCAAATAATGCAAAGAAAACAAGTTCATGTTCATTTAGAAACAACAATACTGATGTTTTAACTCAGAAATCCAAATTTGGTGGAATAACCAGGTTTTCAATGGGGTTCACTGCAGTGGGCTCTTATTTTTTTCTAGAGTTGTATCTTGCTGAAAAGTTACTTGTAAATTAGTTTTGTTTTATTTCAGGTGATATTTGCATTAGAAACCAAACAAAATACTGTTGTGTTTTAGCAGTGATTGACTCCAGGCTGTTGTCTTTCTCCTCTCAGGTGTTTCAATCTGCTTTGGAGAGTCCGTCTCGGAGACTCCCTCCTTCCGACACCATCCTGGTCCACCTGTCTCTGGCCAACCTGCTCACCTCTCTTTTCCGCACCGTGCCCATATTCATGTCCGACCTGGGCCTGGACGTGTCCCTGTCTCCGGGCTGGTGCAGGATCTTCATGCTGCTGTGGGTGTGGTGGCGAGCCGTGGGCTGCTGGGTGACGCTGACGCTCAGCATCTTCCACTGCGCCACCCTGAGGCGACAACATGTCACCTTTGGACCTCTAACTCTGCAGAGGGAGCGGCGGAGGGTGTGGGTGGTGTTGGGACTGGTGTGGGGCGCTAACCTGGCCTTCTCAATCCCGGCGCTGCTGTTCACCACTCACATTGAAAGCAACGCCACCATGGAGCTGATGGTGATCAGCTGCACCACTCGCCCTCTGCTGGGCTGCGTCTGGAAGTTCCCCAGCGACCGACAAGGCTTGGCCTTCGCATCCACTTCTCTTGCGCTCAACGAGATTCTGCCGCTGGTTGTGATGGTTTTCACCAACTTGGCGACCCTTCACTCCCTGGCCAAGCACATCCGAGCCGTTATCTCGGAGTCAGGAAGCCACGGGGAGCTGGACAAACACGTGTCCACTGAGCGTAAGGCCGCTCATGTAATCATGTGTCTGGTGTCTCTCTTTGTGGTCTGCTGGGTCCTGCAGGTCGCCGCGGTGACCTACTACAACCACGACGGTGGGCAACATGCCGAGGGGCTGCTAACCGTGGCCCACTTCTCTGCTTCGCTGTTTGTGGGATTCAGTCCGCTTGTGGTGGCCCTGGGACACGGAAAGCTGAGGAGGAAAATCAGGAGCATGATTCTGGTGTGGACCAACGTCCCTCTCAGCCAGGAGGCTGAAAGCGGGAGAAAATCCCCCAAAACGAGCGGAAAACAAATCAGTTTTGTTGCTCAGAAAGAGGTTAAGGTTAAAAAGGTCAAAGACAAAGTTATACCACGCAGATAGTGAAGGTAAAATATTTCTTTCTTCACTGGGTAAATCAAAAATCACTTATCATTTTCAATTCCTTTAACTTATTTATTGGAACTCATTTATTTAATCTAAACAAACAAAACAAATCAATTTCTCATTTCATCTGTACAGATTGTTTGCACATATTGTTGCTCAGTAGTGGATTTCATTTGGCTTATACGGCTCTCCACCCAGGGCGGCACAGAATGTAGGGCATCACAAACTGTCCCAAAAATAAAAGGTTCTGCCAAAAATTAGTTTTCTGTTGCTTTTTTGGGACATTTTATGAGTGTGGAGTGGGTTTCTCTCAGTTAAAAAAATGTACTAAAATCTCCCAGTTTAATGGGAGAGTTTAGTGTGTTAATTTTTTTTTTTTTTTTTTTTAGTTTTTAAGGGTTCAGAAAAGTTACAAATGTGCAAATTTACAATTTTTCTTGCATAGTGAACACTGCTGGGTGTGTTTGTTTCTTGGTTGTGTGGGGTGGGAAACAAAATGAGAGGTTCATCCTGTGTGATTGATTCAAAAACAATCATGTTGATTCGCTGAAATTTTCCAGTAGCTAAATTACACATGAAAATCATAAAATATAAAAACAAATAATCGGACACATCAGAAACTGTCCTACAAGACGTTATTTTTTATCTTTGGTTTATTCACTTTGTTTGTTGAATGATATCAGCATTTTTAACTTGTTTTGTTTAAATATTAAGGTTAAATTGAGCTGTTTACTCATTTTGAAAGACCTTTGTAATCAACCAAGCCACATATTAAATTAAAAAGAAATGGCCACGCAGTAAATATACATTCATTTCCATGAGTCAAACTCATGAGTGTTTCACAAAAGTATTGACACGCTTTCAATGTTTTTACACAGAGTCGATATCTTGCAGAACCATCTTTGCTGCAAGTCTTAGGGCTGATCTCTCTACTACTATCTACATCAAGAATGAAATTTTTATCCGGTTTCCTTTGCAGAATAGCTAATGTGTTGTCATCTCAACTGGATTTACGATGGATTTTGATTGGGTAATTTCTACCTCATGAACATGCTTAACAAATTCCATGTAGTTTTAAGGAGTCCTGCCTGAAAGAGGACATCAGAAAAATGCTGCAAGCAAACAAGAACTTCCGTTTTATATAGCAAGTTTGCACCATTTCATACTATTCATTTTTGCAATTTTCTGCATTTTCCCTTTTGCTTCTATTTCTTGTGATCGCTGTAGTTTCCCTTTGGATTAGTCTTTTGAAAAATTGCAGCATTTTTCTGTTGCATTTGTGGTTTTTGGTGTTTGTGTGTTTTGGAGTTTGCATCATTCCGGTGTGTGCTGCTCATTTGTACCTGTCGACCGATGCAGTAAAGAAGGGGGAAAACACATTTGCCCCATATATCAGATCTTCAAGCATGAAGACATGTGAGAAAGTTCAAGAAGCATGGATAATTTTGCGAGGCATTGCATCCACTCTAACAAACACTTTGAACAACAGGTGGATGGAGGATTTCCTGGGATTGTTTTGTGGCCTAAAGGACCAAATGTTGCTCTTCACCCAGAAAATGTCAGTCAGAGACAGAAGACTTCATGCACGAACGAAGCCGGCGGTGGCCGATTGCCAGGACAACAGGCGACATGGCGATGAAGATGATGTTTGCGAAGCGAGCGATGACCAGCAGAAACTCAGCTGAGGAGCCTCGGTTGTAGTTGAAATAGTTGACAGAGATGATGCTGGTTCCCCAAGATACGATGAAAAGCAAGACAAGAGCAAGAATCACCTAGGAAAGAAAAGAAATTCATCCATAGAAGATCGAAAATAAACCATTGAAATAAATACTGTTCCAGCACTCTTGGAACAGTATTTGGACTCTAGGATATGTCTCACCTTGGCGGCTCGCCTCTCTGCTGGCACTCGTTTTAAAACAGGTGCGTCCTGAACAGAGCTCCTTGACCGGCCGTGGGTGTAGAGAGTGTAGAGAGACGTCATGTTGGTGACCGCCATCAAGATGATTGGGAATATTTCATGGATCGCCATGGATGTGGTGGCGTAGGCCAGGCCGGAGTAGTTTGACGGGAAGTTCCACACACAGCCCAGCAGGGGGCGCGTTGTGCTGCTCACCAACATGAGAGTCTGAGATCAAAAGAGGAGGAAGAAGAAATGCAAATTACAAAGATGATCCGTCCATTGCTTATATCCAGGTAATCTTTCTGGGTTGTGGTCTCTTTGTGCAAACTCTTTTTTTCACCATGACATTCATACATTTCTAAATGTCAGCTAATTCACTAGCTAAATATTTAGTTTACAAATAAAATATTTAACTTTCAAATTAAATATTTAGTAAGGAAGCTAAATACTGAGTTGGCAAACTAAATATTTAGTTCTCAAATAAACATCTAATGTTTAGTTTGTAACTAAATATTTAGCTAGCAAAATAAGTATTTCATTTGGAGCTAAATACGTAGTCTGAACACATATTTAGCTCAGACCTAACAGTTAGGAACTAAATATTTAATTGAAAGTTAAATATTTAGCTTGTTAATTAAATATTTAGTTTGGAACTCTGATATTTATAAATGTATAAATAAATTGTGAAAATATAACTTCATAAATGAACAAAAGTCATGTTTTTGGATTGTGATTTCTGGAGAAGCTGGAGAGAATAGTCCGCATTTGAATAACAGGGTTTTAGCTTAATAATATTATAGTTGTGAAGTTTGTCAAAACTGGTTTATTTATTCTTCAAATTCATTTTGCGTAGTCAAAAAGTTATTTTCTCCCGACATTTTTATGTAGCTCTTGACGGTTGGTGGTTACCATAGCAACCTGTATCTGGCAGCTCCTCCCCCTTTCCTGTTGCTATTTTTAACTGTCAGAATCAACTCTGTGTTTTTCTTTACAAGTATTTTAACACATACTTTAAACAAATTTAATTATACAGATCACTTTTTGTGTAATTTTGCAATATTTTGCATATGTTTTTTGGTGTTATAGTTAATGTGCATTTTAGCTGTGTTTAATTTCACAACTGTTAACTGCTGTTAACTGCTCATTGGGAGCCATTGCTCTGTAGTTTGTTTAAGGTTATTTATTGTATTTAAAAACATGCAAACTTCGTGTTTGTCTCACCTCTGTGGTGTTTTCATTGCCACTGGTGGAGAAGATATGAGCAGGAATGGAGTAAAGAAGGTTTAAAATCCACATGATGGCCAGGCTCAGCAGCAGGGTCCTATATGTGCTCCACGGCCCCTGGAGGTGTCCAATAGTCGGAGCCACGCGCTTCAGAGTGTGGAGGTGAAACGCGCTGAGGAAGAATGTTGACCACACGTTGACTGACCGTAACCAGACCCAGACTCCCATCAGGAACTGACACCAGCTTTTGGAGGAGTACAGCTGGAAAAGAGATATTTGATTGGGTGAGTTTTGTGTGTTTTCATGTCTTGGAGCGCACTCTACATTGAGATCATAGGGCCGATGGACAATAAATCAATAATGATATAAATTGTGATCAATATCAATAAATAGAATGTCTGATGGAAAATACAGAATTCAGGAATATTAACTGAACTCTGATCCAGAACCACATAGCATTCTGGGGGATGTAGGCAAAGCTGGTGGAATCAACTAACTCACTCACTCTTTGGTTACCTAGCAACTCACTCCCTCTTCGGTTACTTAGCAACAGCCTGTTGAATAACTTATGCAGCAGTCGTCTAGTGTTTTGCTACTGTGCCTCATAACTGCTTAAAAATAAAAACCAATGTTGTGGACTGAAGACAGTGGATGAAACAGGAACGGTCACTCCACCAAATCTGTCTCCCAGTCTGTGTTTATTCGATATCAGCTGTTCTGAATTGGTGCAATCAACTGCCTGCTTTGGTTTCCAGGTATTGTCAGATTGTTGTGTTTTCTAACCTTATGCTTGGAATCTTTTGGCCTTTTTACCCTATATTGCCTTCAGTTTGGTTTGGTTTTAAAGTTTGTCTGCCTACCTCCTGCCACGTCAACAATTAATGACACCCTTTCAGTCCACAGCAGTGTGGTACTGTCTTTAATTTGGACAAGTGACACTGTTGTCCCAGTTGCTTTCTGATGGACTCAAGCCTTGGTTCACCCTGGGTTGTTCTTGAACATCCCAACAGATTTAGTTTAATCTAAAAGGTTGACAGTTTGGGTCAAACGGTTGAAATAATTCAGTATTTACACAGAACAATTAGGAACATAAAGGTTACATTAAGCTAGGAGAACAGCTCGTAACCTCATCTGTCTTGAAGAATCTGTGAAATAAAATGTGACATTCTTGTCAGGAAACCAACTAAGACACATAAACCAGCTCTGGAAAGAGGAGATAACAAATATATGAACTCAGAACAGTGGCAGAAGCTTGCCGATGGCTACAAAAGAGTCGGTGTCTTGAGTAACTTTATACAGGATGCATTAATTCACGCTTGTATTTATAATTTTGAACTTATATGAAATAGAGCCAATTTCCAGTTTAATGAAACTTTTGTATCCAGTTACTTTGTTTAAAATTTGTTGACATTTTGTGTTCTGAAATTAATCAACACTGAAAAAAGGGTGGTTAAAGAAGCTGTAGTCCAGATATAATGACATGAAGTAAATATTTGAGCTAGTTCCACAAGTAAAACTCTTTTCAGCGGTTTGCTTCCCAAACACACTTTAGGTTTTAGTTTTTTGAGCAACACATCAGATGCATATTTGAACAGTTCATACCTTGAAGCCCAGGTCAGAAATGATAAGCAGCAGGTTCCTCACAATGGACACCATTAGATTGGACACTGCCAAATTGACAATAATGATGTCCGAGTTATGACCCGGCCCACGATCCATCAACACACTCTTTCCAATCACTCCTATCACAATAGAATTACCCACAATTCCCAGAGCCACCAAAATGATGTAAAAGGCGCTCTGTGCGGGGGAAACACCGGTGCGAAGTCCCATCCCCACAAGCTTAGTGGTTGACTCTTGCTGCATATCTTGAGTCGTTTCAAAATTTTGAATTTCTGAACCCATGTCAGCATTCCGGCCCAAATTAAGTTCCCTCTTCATTGTGAATGTTTACTGAGAAAGTCCAAATCAGGTGAACTTCCAAGCATACCGCTAATATGTACAACCCGAAGAAGATCCTACCAGTGACATCACAGCGGAAAATGGACCTTTTGGTTCCACCTACCGATGAGCCAATCTCCACGTGGGCCAGAGGAAGCCACAAAGCATCACAATGTTTTCAACCTTAGGGAGATTAAGGTGTGTGTTAATGAAACACAAGAGATTAATCAATTTCCTTGAGCAAATTGTGCTTGAGTTGCAGCTTTCCATCTTTCACCACCAACCTGAAGGAAGTGCGACGTTTTTGTTAGCAGGTAACGCTCGGAGAGATATTTACTCACAGATTTTAACCAGGTTCAGGCCTGGTATGGGTAAAAAAATGGACCAATAACCTCACATTTATTTTTATAATGTAATAATAATCATTAGTGTAGAAAGCTTAATATACTTGTTTGGAGAGCCCCTCTTTTTTACATGCTAAACTAGCTTCAAAACAAGGTTGAAACTGAAAACATTTTGGGCTCTTATATCAGAAATAAGTATTTTTTTTAGCAAATTAAGTACTGTCATTCCAATAAAATACATATAAATAAATAAATAATGGTTTCACTTTATCTTAAAATGGTTTGTACGTGTATACACCATATCACACATACTTGTATTTCCTGAGGTAATAAACACACTGTGTTTGTTTCTAAACCTTTGACTTTAACTGCATGTGCAAAATAAGATCAAGTTCAACAAGCACAACATTTTTCCATGAGTTGCTTCCACTGCATATTTTTACTTTTTTATCAATATATCAGATGTTTTTGTAAGCAGTTCATACCTTGAAGCCCAGGTCTGAAATGATAAGCAGTATGTTCCTGATAAAAGACACCATGAGGTTGGACACGGCCAAATTAACGATAATAATGTCCGAGTGATGTCTTGTGCTGCGCTCCACCATCACACCCTTTCCAATGACTCCAAACACAGTGATATTACCCACAATTCCTAGAGCCACCAGGATAATATGGAAGACTGTCAGTGCAGGAGACAAAGGTGTACGAAGTCCCATTCCCACAAGTTTTTTGGTCGTCTCTTGCTCCATAATTTCAGTCGTTGTGTTAAAATGTTGAATTTCTGAACTCATGTCAGCATCTCGCCCCAAATCAAGCTCCACCTTCATTGTGAATGTTTACTGAGAAACTCAAATCAGCCTTCAAAGAACACCGACACCCAGTTAAGCATCAGGGAATCAACCAGCTTTGGGGTTTTGTTTTTCCTGAAACTGAAGAAGCTCCGTCTGGTGACGTCACAGCTAAAAATTGATTTCTTGGTTCCACCTTCCGACGGTTTGACTTCCTTGTGAATCACAGAAAGATATAAAGCATCACAATTTTTTCAACCTCTGGGAAACTAAGGTGTGTGTTAATGAACCACGAGAGATTAATCAACTTCCCTGAGGAAAAGGTGCTTGCTTTGCATCTTTACTCCTTACACCATCAGCCTGAAGGAAGTACAGACCTTTAATTACTTGTAGCAGAGTTTCTGCTGATCAGGAAATATCTGATTGATTTTTATTCACAGGTTTATGCCCTTATGTCCAGATTTTTGGGTGGTTTGGTTCTTTTACCCATTCTTTAAAATAGGAACTACAATATGGAGCAGCAATAGGTTTTGTTTGGTTATGGAAAGAAAATTCTTAATAAAGTTAGTATTTTAGATCAAAATACCAAGACGGGGCACCACCTGATTATCAGGAAATAATATCCAGCTAGCTTTCAGTCGCTCAGTTATGAATACCAGCCTGGTCAGGTGTGGCATTACAGAAAAATAGATGAAATGAAGTCGCACACACCAAGCCCTGCACATACACAGAATAAATACAGACAACTTCTCTCCAAAATCTAATAATTTACTTACAAACATCCACCAGTTCCAGTCTGCTCTGCAGAACCAGAACCAGAACCAAACACTGGAGAAGCAGCATTCATATTCTATGCACCACAAATCTGCAATAAACGTCTGGAAAACTGCAAAACTGCTGAAACAGTGAGTTCCTTTAAATCTACTTTTAGTCCTTTAGACCAGTGGTCCCCAACCTTTTTATTACCGCGGACCGGTCAAGACTTGCAAATTTTGCTGCGGCCCGGGTGGGATGAACAGTCAGATAAGGCTTCTGCATGTTGGTATTCCTGCTAAATCCTGAATATGCCCAATTTGGGTTGTCTTGGCCCTTTTATCGCAGCCTGTGGGGTTTACCCTGACTGGGAACGAGAATACAACCTGCTGTATGTGACAGGTAGCCAATCAAAAAGCGTGGTGACGTAAGAACAGAGGGGAAGACCAAACAGCTGACATATCGCGCAACTGAGAGTCCGGTGGATATCAGAGATGACATGTGAAAATGTTTATTATTATATGTAAAGGTCATTATTATATATGTTTATTATGTTTATTCAGTTAAAATATTAACTATGAAAAAACATAGTTGCCTCCAAATCATAGTGCAGCAAATAGAGCGGCTGCTCCCGCTGTCTTTTATCCACTGCCTTTTATTTTTGTTACGTCTTTTATCTCTTAAAATGAGTCCACAAACTATCACGATTGCTTCTACATCGTCATCCGTGTTTGGTTATTCTAAATTCCTGTATGTTATGTTGGGGGTTTTACTGGATTATCCTCTGGAATCGGAGTAGATAAAATATCCGATGAGATTAAACTTTTGCAGCAGGTCATTTTGTTTAAGATTTGTTGACAGTTTTTGCTCTAAATGAATAAACTCTGCCATGAGAATAGCTCAAAGAAGCTCTTTAAAGTCCAGATATGATGACATTTCTGCTAACAGTGAGTGGACCGAAACTCTATGTGCAAAATGAGAGCTAATTCAACAAGCAAAACGCTTTTTTTTATTCTTTTCCATCCATAATTTTTAGTTTTTTGAGCAGCACATCAGATGTTTGTGTAAGTGGTTCATACCTTTAAGCCCAGGTCCGAAAAGATAAGCAACACGTTCCTCAAAAGTAAAACCATGAGGTTGGACACGGCCAAATTAATGATAACAATGTCCGAGTGATGTCTCGTGCTGCGCTCCACCATCACACCCTTTCCAGTGACTCCAAACACAATGATATTACCCACAATTCCTAGAGCCACCAGAATAATGTGGAAGGCACTCAGTGCATCGGGCAGAAGTGTGCTAAGTCCTTTCCCAACAAGTTTGGTTGTTGCCTTTTGCTCCATGTCGTGACCTACTGAGTTAAATTTTTTAATTTCTGGACTCATGTCAGCAGCATCTCGCCATAAATGAAGCTCCACCTTCATTGTGAATGTTTACCAAGAAAATCCAAATCAGCTTTCCAAGAAAACTGCATATATAACTTAAGCATCAGGGAATCAATCAGCTTGGATATATTTACATCTTTCCACTGCAGCAAAACCTGAAGAAAATCATTTGCGTGACATCATAGCAGAAAACTGACCTTTTGGTTTCACATTCCCATGATTTTACATCCAAATGGACCATAAAAAGCCATAAAGCATCACAATGTTTTCAGCCTCAGGGAGATTAAAGTGTGTGTTAATGAAACACAGGAGATTAATCAACTCCCCTGAGCAAAATGTGCTTGAGTTGCAACTTCAGACTTTGCACCTGAAGGAAATGAAGACATTTTTGTGTGCATGCATCCACCTGCAGCAGGTTGTCTGCTGGTTAACAGAAGATCTCACACTTCATTTTTAAAAAGCTGAAAACAAAATAGAAAGTAAAATTAAGTCACAAATGTGACAAAATGTGTTGTTGATCAAGATAAATACAAGCAATGGTTAATATAAAAACTAAAACTGTGGCATTTTAGGCATTTATTTAAATCAGTGGTGATAGAAAGTTCATCATTTTATAGAAATATATTTTGAAAAAAGCTGAAGTACCTAAGCAAGGGTTGTAAATCTATTCACAGCTGCAGCAATCAGCATTGAAAAAAGAAACAAGAAGACGTATTTAACACAATAATGACAACTTTGTCATGTTTTTTTAATCAATATGTTTTATCCCTCTCATTACTCAGAGTTGACTGTAATATAGATTCAATCTGATAGGAGAGTACTCTGCTAACATAAAGTCAAATTAAATAAATAATAAACGGTCCAATGAGGCTCATTGGTCTGATTAAAAGTAGCTGTTGAAAATAACATTTAAGCAGGTATTAAACATGCTTTTTATGACGCTCATATTTTCTGTATTAAAATGTTTTTTTCTTATTTTTCTGACTGGTCCCTTTTGTCGTGTTTTTATTAGTGGAAAACTGACTAAAATAAAGAGTTGAACACATCAATCTCTCTGCAATTAATCTTTGTAATGTGTTTGACTTGTTGAATTGAGTGACTGAGAAAATATTTTAATAATATTCTAATTTATTAAATGGTTTTGTATTTTGTAGAGATTTTTGGGATGTGCATTTAGCTTTTAAGTTTCAAAAGTCCACATGACTGAAGTTATGGATTTAAACTGAGACTTGAATAGTTTTGTGAATTGTTAAAAAATGGATGATTTTGACTCAGGGTGTGCTTTCTTTTTACCACAACTGTACTTGTGGTGCAGTTGGAAGAGCTGTTGCCTTGCAGCAAGAAGGTTCTGGGTTCGATTCCTGGCTCCAGTCTTTCTGCATGGAGTTTGCATGTTCTCCCTGTGCATGTGTGGGTTCTCTCTGGGTACTCTGGTTTCCTTCCGCAGTCCAAAAACATGACTGTCAGGTTAATATTAAGAAAAGAAACACAATAGATATTTGCCAGGAATTTTATAATCAAGTACAGAATAAATATTATTTGCAAATTTATACTGATATTTCGAAAGACCCCAAAAAATGAAGCAACCAGTATAGCAGTAGTGATTCCTGAATTAAAGATTAATATTTTAAAAAGAACATCTAATTATTTGAGTATATATGCAGTAAGAGTATGTGCAATATTATTAGCTTTTGAATGGGTGGAGGATACTGATATAAATAAAATAATAGTTTGTAGTGATTCATTATCTGCATTGTTGAGTATTGAAAAAGGATGTACAAATAATCATCAAAAATATATTGCGATTATGGCTCTTCATCATAGGATTTGTGAACAAAATAAAAATGTATTGTTGTTCTGGACTCCTACTCATGTAGGTATTTTGGGTAAAGAGCAGATAGGTTGGCTAAGGAGGCTATTAAAAAAGAAGATACTGATATGCCAGTAAAATTATCTAAATCTGAAAAGTATAGTTTGGAAAGAAAGCAAAAAGATATGGAAAATTAGGTGGGATAATGAAATAAATGGAAGGCATTTATATAGGATACAAAATACAGTTGATGAAGTAAGGATCAGAGGAAAAAACAGGAGGGAGGAGATAATTATAAATAGAATAAGAATAAGTCACAGTTTTTTAAATGGAACTCTTTTTAAGATGGGGAAACCTCTTCCTGATTTAAGCCGTTGGTGTGATACTGTAGAAACGATGGATCTTGTTTTGATTAGTTGGAGAAAATCTGCAAATCAAAGAAGATTATTAAAAACGCAATTAGGTTTTAATAGGGAATTGAAATTTGAGAATGTGGTTGATTAGTTAAATAGCACTGAGGGGAAAATGATTTTTCGTTTTTAAAAAAATACTGGTTTCATTCTGAGAATTTGAGGTATAGGTATTAGGATCCAATAGATGGTGGTAGTGCAACAATGATGGACGCAAGCTGTCGTTAAAATCTAAAGAAGAAGAAGAGGAGGAGGAAGAGGAAGAGGACGGGACGTGGTCTGTTTTGTTGAATGTTTCTCTAAAAAATATCTTCAGTCCAGTTTAAACGAGTTTATCAACGAGCAGTTAACTGCTGCTGAAGAAACTTTCACAGAGTTTAAAGAAATCATCGTCAAGTCGGAGGAAGAGATGGACGATCAGCGCAGACTGCTTGATTTCTCCCGGACTCCCCAGATAATCTTACAACGGATAGGTAGGAAACACCAGCGTTTGGATGAAGGTTAATGTATGCACCGTTCTGCATGAGGATCATTCTAGTAAATGTGCTTTTCCCATATAAAATGTTTTTTTAACGGGTAAATGAACCCAGACACGACAATTACGCTGTGAGAATGGCTTATTTATGTAGAGAGAAAATGGAGCCAATGGCCTTTTTTTGTGGCTCTTTTCCTTTAACTACTGAGATTTACTTTTGAAAACAGCAGAAATGTGAATAATGCAGCGCAAGGTTAGTAAAGCAAGCAACATAAAATAATAGCGGCGTTAGTTGTAAAATGTAATAATTTGTAATAAATAAATTGTAGTTGCGAATTTTCGTCGGTCCAAACAGGAAGCTGAAGCTTTTTCCGAGAAAATTGAATGCAACACAACGTAACCTGACACCTACTGCTAAGTAGCGGCATGTGGAGAGAAGGAGAGAGAGCGAAGCAGCAGCAGCATTGATTTATGCAACTGTTCTTAGTGGGGAAACACTGAGTGGCAAAAACTGTTATATGTAATTTCCCCCCTCTGTCTAAAGTAAGATAGCTCCCGTTTTTGTTGGAAGGTTTCATAAAGACGATGAGAGGAAGAAGTGGGGAATGTCTTTAATGCCTCTGTCTCTTTAAGGAGAGACGCATTCGCTGCACTGATGAACCTCAGCTGCTGAATCTCTTAAGGTTTTCATCGGCTGGATTCATGAGCCCAATTTACAGGAATTTACAGCTACTTCATTAAACACCGTTTTCAACTAATTCACCACCAAGTTACACGGATAAGAGATGTCCAATGTCCATAACACTTGAAAATTGCTGTGATCGTTTATTTTCCCCAGTTTGACAAGATAACAAAGATCAAACTTTTCATCAATGATGTGTCTTTAGTGCCAAGGCTTAACAGCACAATTCAGTAGGATTTTTATGAAGCGCGTAAAACAGAGAACTCACCTAAACCCAAGCACAGTTAAAGCTTTTATTTTTTAGTAATTAATTTTTGTACCTGGTGACATAGCGAGTAACAAGCCAATCACAAAATTCTCTCCTATTTGTTTCCCGTTTACTTTTTGATCCAGCCGTTGTTTCATACAACCAGATTAATCAGAATTTATGTGTTAGAATCACAAACATCTTTTACTTGTTTATTCATTGTAAGGCTTCATGTTGATTTCACGTTGCCCATTTCACATATATTGTCCACTTGATGTCACAGTAGTCTACGCTCTGTAATTTTTAGGTGGTTTTTTGTTAATTTCTGTCTCAAATGATGAACGATTTCTCCTATTTACTTCAGTAAAGTTAACAATAACTCTTTTTCTCTGTTTTTGTCTCCAGATTCCCTGCAGTGCAACATTCATCACCAGGAGAGGAGATCCACTCTGGACCAGGAGGAGTTAGAACCTCTGAAGGGAAAACAAGACCAGGAAGAGCCAGAAGATCATCAGATAAAAGAAGAGCAGGAGGATCTAAAACACCAGCAGATAAAAGAAGAGCAGGAGGATCTAAAACACCAGCAGATAAAAGAAGAGCAGGAGGATCTAAAACACCAACAGATAAAAGAAGAGCAGGAGGATCTAAAACACCAGCAGATAAAAGAAGAGCAGGAG